AGCTTGTAATTTGGCATGAATGGCGCAAACGTGCAAATGAACGTACCCAGTGAATTTCGTTGAGATCCATTGACCTTGAAAAATCAGCGGAGTTGGTTAAATAATACTGACCAGGCATGTGCAGATAGTAAAGTTTAAATTTGAAGCTTATTCGAATCATTAGGTGATTCAGTCAAATAATTTTGAACTTAACAGCTGAAATAGTATAAAGAAAATGAGTGTATTCTTTATGACCAAACAAATTTGTACAATATTTTTTAACATTGGAACAATGCATATGCGAATGTCACTCTTTTTGGTTCTAGGCAATGGAGATGCAACTTTGAATAGTAACAGGATTTTAACTTCAGCAGTATGCAAGTGATAACCTGTAAAATATGTCCTGTTTTAAAATTGATTATACTTGGAGCATGTTACCTACATAACAGGCTTTTAAACTTAGAAAATCATTAATCGAAGTGACGGTAGTATGTTTATTTAGCTTTGATGTAGAGCTTTGCTGCAATACGATGTGTCTTTGGTGAGGTGTTTTCACAAAGTAGCACTCCTACACTGCAATGAAACCAGGCAGACTAATGTGGGTTACGTGCCTGTTCGCTCATGTCGAATACTTGGAAGTTTCGAGCAATTTAAATTCATGTCAAATTGAACTTGAATGCTGTATTTGTTGAATATTTGTAGCGCTTGCATATTTAAACATGCCTTGTAACGGCACAAAATTTTGAAGACTGTAAGGACTGTGTGGGGGAAGTGGCTACCGGAAGGCCGAGAGATGGCACCACAGGTGGTGCCGGCTCTGTTGTCATCATCATCATGAGGATGGACAGGGCTGCCGTGGCAAGGCCTGGCGAGGAGTGTGAAATAATTGGTGTCGACGAGACCAGTTGTGCGCGCTTCCTCCCTAACGAGTGGAGGCCCAGCCAGGATGAAATGGATCATGTAGCTGTTCCAGAGGAAGTAGTGCGATATCTTGTCGGCCAAACTGATGAATCGGCGATTTAGTGCGAGCAAGTCGCCTCCCTGCTGTGGCAACGAGTGATGACTGCCCCAGTCACAGCCGCGCCGTTAGGCCTAGGCGTGCAAGTGTCCGCACCGCAACCATCGCAGCAGTCTGCCATGACTTTCTTGCCGCTTACAGAACCGCTGAAGCTCTCGGGCTTCAACAACCTGCAGTCACCGGAATTTTTTTTTCAATGTTTGGACAATTTTCGTCTGGTGGTCCAGGATCGACGAAGCGAAGAGGCTTAGCATCGGGGTGCCACCGGCATTGGAGGGCAGAGGTAAGCTTTATTGGGGGGTTTGTCGGCGCTTTTGCCTTGTGGGACAAATTCTCACAAGCTTCCAGTGCAAAGTTCTCTTCTATCGACTCAAAACGCCACCTGAAGAAGGAATTTGAGCAGTGAATGCAGCGCCTCGAGGAAAACCCAAAAGAATTTATTTTTGGGATATCTGCATTCTACGATTGCATCGAAGAGCTGGTGTCATATGAAGAAAAGGTGCAGTGAGTTCTCCGCCAAATGCATTCGCAGCTGCAAGACCTGGCTGAAGGATCATCATTTACGACCCTGAAAGAGCTCGCTGCCGCGGCGGATGAGTTGACGCAGTGTGTGTGGTGGCATCGGCAGTACAAACCACTGCTACCACCAGCAAATCAGGTCGCAAGGGATTTGGCATTCCAACAACACATGGCGGCCACTAAGCTCTCGGACCACAACCAATGATGGCCGCTGGGGGTACGACTACGTCTACCGCATTGGCCTCGCCATACCACTGGCCACAACAGCCTGCAGTTGTTCAACCGTCATATGTCCACGATCAGTTATATTCGGCCACTACCGTCCCTACGCCGATGCAGCCGTTAGCCCACGCCTCGCCACCGGCCGCTCCTTGGCAGCGGCCCAACTCACGACAGGTCCGCCGCCAGTGCTGCGGAGGGATAGGCCATGTTCCCGGCCAGTGCATCACGGCTAGGCAAAATGTGCCGCCCACCTGTATCAACTGCGGTCAACCGGGTCACATGTGGGTCGAATGCCCGGACAATCGGCTTCCGGGAAACCGACTTTGGTAGATGCTGTGCCGGCAGGCATCTACGGCAGCGCCCTGCAGGTCGTGACTGGTACTGGCCGAAAGGAACCCCCTGCTCGATATCCGTATCGGAGCAATGATGTTCCAGTCACTCTAAGACACTAGGTCCAGCGTAAGCCTTCTGGGACGACAGGCGATAGCGGCCGTCGAAGCCACAGGGGCCAGCCATAAAAGAGAGATATGTGCGCAACGCTTGGCTGCAGGCTGATCCCAATCTTCTACCTCGTGCTTGTGCAAGATACACTGGGTAGCAGGCTCTTGCCGACAGCGTTTTTTTTGTGTGCCCGACCTTTGTAGGGACATAGTACTTGGGAGAGACTTCCTGACTTTGACTGGAATATCACTTTATGTTACACTTGGAAGTTGGACAATCGGGACTGAACCACAGTGCATAGTGCATTTTGTTAACGAAGAGCGCCTGGTTAAAGGAGGGCAAGACAGGGAGGAGACCTATGATCTTGTGTGTTAGCTCAATGCACATGCGCCACGGAATGGGGAGCCCTTTGTTTACTTAGCTTTCATTAATTCGAACTTCTTTTAATTTGAACAAATTTTCAGGCCCCTTTGAGTTTGAATTATTGAGATTCGACTGTGTTTCTAAGGCCTTGCCTCTCACCTAGGTGCTCATGGACGACTGGCTTCTAAGTGCTTAAGCCAACAAAGCCTCCACTCCATTTAGTTTCTGTAACCCAAATCCTGTAGACGGTTACAGTGTCAGTGCCAATCAAAGATAATTTCTGCATTTATTGTGTGAAACATGGTAAGCTTGATGGCCTTTTGAACTTTGAAATAATGAAAAGATTGCATAGATCTGTCTCATTTGCAAAAACACTTTGTTGAGCCTGCACAAAGGTTAAAAAAAGTGATTAACCAGAAGGGTTTCTTCAAAGGCCAGTTGGTACATGATACTGAAGGGAACAACTCACAAACTGGGGCAGAGAAAGAATGAACACACGACACAAGCGCTTGTGTCATGTGTTCATTCTTTCTCCGTGCTGTTTTTCGCGGTGGATCAAGCAGACAAAGGCATCATAAAACGTGTACACCTGTGAGCGCTCACTTGGTGGCAAACCCAAATTCTTGGTTGTAAATTCTCTGATGAATACTTCAGCATCTCGCCATGATTCCCAAAGAGCGTCAGAAATATCTTTGAAAAGTTATTGCAGATCTTACGGTTATCATTGTCATAAACACCCATGTTATGCTCTTGCATTTGTCTGAATTATATACTGCTGTCTAGATTACCGTGAGAATTCTTATGGATTAGTCCCATATCTTACACTGATTTACGAAGAGCAATAATGGTATTTGATCTTTTTTTAAAGTTCGTAATGGTATTTGATCTTTTTTTAAGTTCGGAGGTGTGCTCCTTTATTTCATTGACACCCAATTAAATGTCTTTTACCTTCCCTGCTACATCATTCTAAAATTTTTCATTCGAGGCCACCAATTTTCCAAGTGCTGTGAGACGCTGGTCCACTTTATCTGGGTTTGTTTTAATGTTCCCAGAACAAAGTAACAGGTGTGCAAGGCAATCATTAATTGGTGCTCATCTCAGAGCTTAGGTATAGGCTTTCTCATGCAATGCCATACGAGACAGCGCTCTTTGACTTCTTTGTGACACACAGAAAAATGTCCCATTTGAGCATGGTATGAGTTAAGGTGATCACTCATTCATTTTACTCAAAACTAGAACAGTGTGCATCACAAAATTTTGAATGCAAAGCGAATTGCAAAATTTAAGTGTGAGTGCAAATGAATATTTTTCTAATATTGCATATCCTCGCTTCATAAAAAAACACTTTTTCCCGAAAAATTTAAGCAAAGTTATGGGGTGCGTTTATTATGTGGAGCAAACCTGAATTTGGGCAAGAAGCAGAAAAATCGGATGCCGGAGATTTTCAGCATTCAAAATTTCAGGTTTTCTTATATATTGACATCTATGAGACAGAATTGGAACTCCGGACTTGAATTGCCCTCAGGCCACACCAGTTGGACTTCCACAGAGGTTCAAACAGGAGGAGAGGCTGAGGAAATAACCCTTCATATGGAAAGTCTTTTCAAGAACACTTTGACCGCACCAGATTATCTACAAAGTACATCACCTCATTCTTGATGAAACAGCTACGAAACACTGTCCAGCCAGCGCTTCATCAACCAAGCCGCTTTCAGGTTGCTGTTTCATAACAATGTGCTCACCAGTTTTTTTTTTAATGAAATTTCACTTGTAACTATTCGAAAAGTGTCAAACAAATATTCGACAAAAAATATTCAATTCAGTTCATACTCAAGCTGTAATGTTCAAATTCACATCGTACCAAAAATTTTGCTATTGACACAGCTCTAGTCATTATTGGATGTTGAGTGTACTTGTCTTTGGGAAGTCCGAATAGATTTGAATATGAAAATTGCAGTGTGAATCAAATCAAATAGCAAATGCTAATATAAAAATATTGGAGATCTTGAATATTTGCCCACTCTTACTCAATACTTATTCAAAGACCACAACAGATTCACACAGAGGGGGATTTGAAGCTAACCAGTTTACCAGACTGATGCACGGTACACTTGCCTAAAAGGTACACTATAATGCCATGATTAGGCATTATTCCACTGCAAGTCCCGCTGCTTTCTTGTTAATTGCCCTTATGAGGGGGGTTGCTGCCTTGTGCTGTTTGCAAGGCAACGTTTGCAGCGGGTCTTGCTGGTGCAAGCGATAGCAGCTGCGATCGGGGATGTGTCAGCGGCTTTTCACTGTTGGATCGTGACAAGTGCAGTGACTTGATTAGGTACAAGCACGCAGCTCTAATAGGGTTAGAAGTTAGTGCTGTTTCCATCCTTCCTCAGTTGTAGCTGTTTCTTGTGCCGTTCTTACATTCAGCATGGTTTAATATGCTTTGCTTGCTGACATGCAGATTCAAGTGGAGGACGTGAATGACTGTGCCCCCACTTTTCCGGAGGACCCTGTTCACTTGTCTGTGCCTGAAGACATCCCTCAAGGAACTGTGGTGTGGACGCTTGCTGCTCAAGATCTGGACAGTGCTGATAATGGCAAGGTGTGTGCGCTTTATCTTAGGACCATGAACAGCTGAACATTCAATGGCATGAAGAACACTGGAATACATTTAGATTTACCTGTTCACAAGCTTCGCAGGCTTAATTATGGAGTACTGTGGAAAAGATAAGAGGGCAAACACAGTGTCCTAGGAAGAAAATTTGTCAGTGGCACTGGACAGCTACCCTGCATTTTACTGGTAGGCAGTTGCGTAAACACACACAAAAAAAAAGTGAAAAATTTATGCATTAATTAGTAACGGCTTGTAAAAAAGCACGTGTGCTCATGATTCCTTTCCTTTTTATGGCATCGCGGCAGCTTCGTTGCGAGGACATGTCAGTCCCTTCAAGAAACGAGACAATGAAGCGTCTTTCGACGGGACCGGTCACCCGCGGCCGGCGCACACTGTTCCCCTATCCCAGCTCTTGATGCGGATTACCCTTCCTCAGTGAGGGAGACAACCTTCGTTGGGGAGAGGGAAACGGGGAGGCTGATCAAAATGAGCATGCCCACAGCAACATGGTCTCTCTGGCACCATCCACCGAACTTGAAAAACAACTTTAGGTTTTCCCTGCGAGCCATGGCAATCGATGATGAAAGGCGTACGCATATACCCTTTGTTATCTTCTTAGAGCGGACAGTCCCTCTACGCGACATTTACGCGTTATTTCTAACAAATCAATAAAGTGCTATTTTGTCGATTTGTTTGCTTGAACCCGTGTAACTGGGATGACTTGAGCTACGGCAAGGGGAAGTCAATCATGCACAGTACAACTGTCTGCAGCTGGAACATTAGCTAGGCTTCTGCGTCAGCCGTAAACAGGGTGGACACCTTTCATGTGGCGCCCAATGTAACAAATTTAGCATTCCGGCTAGTTTTGTGAACGCGAGCGACTATCGACACTCCTCCATTGCAGACAACAGGGTTGTCAGAATTCCAAGATTTGTTCATGTTGTCTGATGTCGCGGAGTGTCTATCTTGGGCTAACACAGAGGCGTGCTTCAGACTTTCCGGCATCGTAGACCTTGGTCGTTTCACGCGGGATAACCAAGATGTTGCAGAGACTAGGCCTACAATAGAGGGTGCCACGCATGGCGCCCTGTCACCTCGCGATGCGAACAGAAAGGTGCTGCCACAAGTTGCTCCAACACACGCCGCAACTGTAGGTGAGTGTTCAGGCGATGCCCTCAAGCAAAATACTCTTGTGGAGTGGACTCTCAGTTATGCAAAGCCTGGCAAGCGCTCTGCAGAACACAGCGCAGGCTCCTGTGCAGAGTGTGCGACTACCTGTCAAGGTAGATCATGCCTAGCTACACTGGCTACCATGACTGCAAAAGCCCCAACAAGTATCTCAACCAGCTGCTCCACTATAAGTGGGAAACCGTGCTTATACGCCGAACTTCCCAAGCGCGAGGTCTCGGTGTCACTCTCATTGCAAGCATTTTGATGAACTAGTGGGACATCACACCTCCACTGTAGAAGAGTTCCACGACAGCTTCCACGATGAATTTCTTCCGGCTAATTATGGGGGAGGGAGCGACGTTTGCGGAGAAAGTTGGAGCTATGCACCCAGCATCGGGACGGATGCTTGAGGGAGTATGTATGGGTAATGGACGAACTGTATCGTCTCGCTAACCCTTACACCACCAATGCAGAAGAAGTCGAGCGTGTTAAGTAACAAGTGCACCCAACTTTTGTGGTGCACTTCACGGGATGCATGTTCACAGACCTAGAAGAGCTCGCCACCGAAGTGAAGTGCATACAAGGGGACATCCTTGCAGTGCGATCGTATCACCCGCCTACACTCCCAATGCAGTCAATGAAGCCTCGCTGTGCGTGGAATGGTGGCGCAGTAGCTTCACAGGCCTGTAGGGGTAACGTGTGAGCATCGTTCGCTGATGAATATGTACCACGTGGTTGGGAGTTGTCAGACTACGCTTAGGGCCCCTACACCCTCCGTACGGCCCATGCCGCCTTGGCACGTCACTATCTACGGCAGGAGCACGCAGTCGACACGAGGTCAGACGAGCGGCACGACTCGTAGCGAGATTCAGCGAATCGAGGTGACTTGCCATCAGGCCAGCATGGTTTCCACGGTTTATGCTATTAGTATGGCGCGCAGGTGCACATCGCCCGCGAATGCGACCGCACACCGGGTCGGGAGCAAATGTGCGGTTCAAGAAATAGACGGCACACCTATGAACCACATCGGACACCGCGAGGCGATCAGTAATTTCATTGATGCGTTCGGATTACTTGCACCCTCAATCTGTCATGCAAGTGATGCCGTAGACTCACCCGCACCGCTAATCGAGTTAACGATAGCTCGAAAGAAGTTCGTAGCACTTTTGGATACTGGGGCAAGCGCTTCTTTATTTGGCGACAATGTGTTGCACCATCTCCACGAGAGCAATATTCGCTTGAGACAAAGCGACACTATATTCCACCTTGCTACGGGCAAAGCACAATCGAGCGGTGCGGCTAGGCTAATTATTTACTGGGAAAGACGCGTGAGGCGACAATGTTTCGTGCATTTTCCTGGGTTGTCAATGTCTGTAATCCTTGGTAGAGACTTTCTCGCAAAGTCGGGTATTGTCATTGACATTGTAAACAATACTTACTGAGAGCGCAATGAAGACACGCTAAAGTTTTCTCGAAGGTCCCCGCATTGACACAGGCATGCCAATCGCAGGGAGAGGCGAGAGTAAGCGAGGAGGAAAGCACGCCGAGAAAGCGAGTAACCTCCCCGCAGATACCATGTGCCGCGCTACAGGGTAAATCAGTGCATTCGCTTTTAGTAGGGCTACAGAGCCTGCCAGAAGGGGAAAGAGCGCAGCTGTCATCGCTGTTGTACGAGTACAACGCAATGTTCACTGACCGCCCAGGCCGCACTACGCTGGTCAAGCACAGAATTGACATGGGTGATGCACTACCTTGTAAGTGCGATCCCCGACCGATCAGCTCGGCTAAACAGTAAAGCACTTGACGCCGCCTTGGACGAACTCATCACCTGTAGTTCTAGTTCCAAAGAAAGATGATACGTATAGCCTTTGTGTAGACACCGCAGGCTTAATGAAGTTACGAAGAAGGATGCGTACCCTCTTCCCTCCATCTCATCTTTAGTATCCAACATAGGTGAGGCGAAGTACTTCACTACACTCAATACTTGCCGTGGATATTTCCTGGTTGAGATGGACGAGCGGGATAAACAGAAATCGGTTTTCACTTGCCACAAAGAACTTCTCTAATTTAGGAAAATGTCTTCCGGCTTGGTGGGAGCTCCCGCTAAGTATCAGAGGCTAATGAAGCGTGTTTTAGGAGATGCAAAGTGGCAGCACGCACTCGCATATCTAAACGACATAGTGACTCGAAAACGTTGGAGGAGCACTTGCGCCCCTTGAGAGATGTTCTAGAAAGGCTAAAGTCTGCGGGAATCACTCTGAATCTGAATGAAGCTCAGACAGCCAAGAGGCAAACATTTTTGGGATTCACGCTTGACGAGGGTCTCATTTTGCCAGTTAAGGGTAAACTTGAAGCGATAGTCAGCTATTCGTTGCTGAACAATATGGGTGAGCTGAGGCACTTTCTGGGAATGGTAAACTTTTATGCCAATTCATTCCAGACTGTGCAGCAGTGCAGGCACCATTGATGAAGCTCTCCAGGATTGGCGAGCGTTGGGCTTGGAGCCAAGAGAAGGTGGACGCACTGCGTCGCCTCACGAAATTGCTGGCCAACAGGGCTGAGCTGCAGCTACCTGATATGAACAAGGAGTTAGTGATTCACACAGAGGCAAGCGACCTGGGCTTAAGAGCAATTCGCTTCAGGAGAATAGAGGTGCCCTCCAACTGATTGCGTTTGTGAGCCGTTTATTGACGCCAGCCGAAAGGAACTACTCGATAACCGAAAAAGGAGTGTCTCGCGATTGTTCTTGCTCTCTGTAACTTTGACTTTTACATCGACGGAGTTGCATTTGTGATTGAGACTGACCATGTGGCGCTCACGGGGTTGAGGCACTTGAACAAACCAAGTGGGCACCTGGCATTGCTGCTGCAGTGTTACGATTTCACTGTATGCTACTACAAGGGTAAGAATAGTGCCGGGGCCGACGCACTATCGCGTGATCCAGTTCGACATGAGGCAAGTCACGGGACTAACCCTGAACGAACTGAGAGCAGGACACTCGTTTTTTCGTAAACAGTGCAGCAAACATTAGTTGAAGGCAAAAGTGTGAACCAAGTAGAGGCTGTCCTTTGCACAGGGATTGTTTTCAGCTGAAAGGAACTGTTAGAAGCTCTGCAGAAAGATCCATTTTGTCGAAAGGTGTTCGGCGGGCTCTTGGAGCTGGGTAGCATTGAGGCCACTGCGCACATAAGGGCAGGCGGTATTGCTGGTGGTGCATAGCGCTCGCTAACAGCTGGCAGTGTTGTGAGCGCGCTATATTCTGACAGTGTCCTGCTGACGTACATCCCATCTGATAATTACACAAGTGAGTCATTCAAGGTTGTGAACAGCTGGCAGTGTTGTGAGCGCGCTATATTCTGACAGCGTCCTGCTGACATACATCCAATCTGATAATTACACAGTCATTCAAGGTTGTGAACAGCTGGCAGTGTTGTGAGCATGCTATATTCTTACGGCGTCCAGCTGAGGTGCATCCCATTGGATAATTACACGAGTCATTCAAGGTCGTGATACCGCGCTCGTTAAGGGGAGCTCTTCTTCGCTACTTTCATGACTCCTGCATTGCTGAGCATGCGAGCGGCCCTAAAACATATGCTAAGTTGTGTCGCCTTGCTACCTGGCCTGGCATGAAGCGGGATGTGATTTGCTACGCCTGTTCATGCCGCATGTGCCAAAGCGTCAAGCCATGAGGAGGACGACCGCCTAGCAAATTACAGCATGTCCCGTTAAGGGACCATACCCCACAACTTCTAGTAGAAACAAGTTCTTGCTAGTGGTCGCGGATCACTTCACTAAATGGGTAGAGCTTTTTCCCCTTA